GCAAGACTTCTTGGGCAGTATTTTGTTTTCTCACTTTAGACATGATGATTGCACCCTTCACGGTGCTTCCTTTTCTAGAAGCTTCTCAAGTATTTAATGTGTGGAGACACAACTTTGCACCTTCTTTTTAAAAATAAAGGTTGTTCTTGGGGAAGAGGGGTGAACCTAACAGCAAACTCCTCCCTTGGGGCTGGCTGGTCTGGTGCGCCCTGAGTGTTGGGTTGACTCCCTAGGAAGCATTTTTTTTAAAGATTTATTTATTTATGCCTACAAGAACTGGGGTGTAGACCAGAGGGGGGGAGGGTGAGAGGATTCACCAGAGACAGCGGGGAGCAGAACAGGCAGATATACTGAAATACACTGCTGAGGGGAGCAGTGGGTGAGACAAGAGAGGTCTGCTGCACCATGTGGGTAGCTCTCTGGCTTGCTGGGAATCGAACTCACGCTGCAGTCGCAGATGATAGTTTGATAGCGCTGTCTTTAATCCCTGTGCCACCAGGGAGGCCCCCTAGGAAGCATTTTTAAGAAAATACTCCGCCAGCCACACTTCAGTGCATGTTGCCGCCAGCTTCAGAAGGGAGGTTTCCTGGGGGCCACAGAAGAGAAAAATTATTCCATCTCTGTGGCCCCCAGCGCACGTGGAGCTTTCCCGAGCTGCTTTTCCGTCAGAAACATCGGCGGAGGCCAGGTCCCTGTGATGTCTGTGCTTTGCTTGTTGGCAAGGCTGTGGGTTTATCTGGAGCAATGAAGAATGCACAAGTGTGCAGTCGCTAAGCCCAAGCCTCCTGCCCCCGCAGTGTGTTGTGTGTGCAACATGGACAGTCCCGCCTGACTGCCTGACCCGAAAGGGTCGCTTTCCTCTCCCTGACGATGGGCACAGGGTAGGAGACTTCCCAAGTTCGGGCCAAGCCGGGGAGTCCAGAGTCGCTTCAGCCCCACACGTAGTTCTCGTCCATCCTGGCTCCCCAGCCAGGTCGGTCTTCGGCTCTCAGTGGGGGCCGGACAAACTCGAGTCAGCAAGGGCCAATGGTGCAGTAATGGGCTCGCCCCCCCAGCTCTGGCCTTTCCTCTCCCGCCTGCTCCACTTGGGTATACAAGTGCACACATGCAAGGGGCGACTGCACCTTAGCTGAGTTGGGAGCTCCAGGCGTCTCGGGGATATAAAGTTTTTTCAGCGAAGGTCGTCAGCCTGCCTCCGCGGCTCCTGTCCCCCACACAAAATTAGTGAACACCCCGAGGGGCTGGTGGTAGGATACTGAAGTGATTTCCCTTTGCTAAGTGCTGCCAGGGGCAAGCGCCTTGAGGACCCAATAGGGCTCCCTAGAGGTAGTGCTTGAGCTGTGAAGCCTCAGCTGAGTGATTGGGAGTTGTTGAGGGCCCAGGAGAAGTCTAACCTCAGCCCCAGCCCCTGGGGAGCCGGGGGGACTGGTGGATGCCCTAAGGCCAGGGGGCTGCAATAGGTGCCCAGGATAGTTGTCCCAGGGGAGGGGCCTAGGAGATGGGGTGGGGGGCGTCTATGCAAATCACGTGGCCTTGGAAGACAGCAGCTCACAGCCCTGGGAAAAAAGCCCAGACTTGGGGAGTGGGGACTCTGAAGCTGAAGTCTAGGTTTTATCCCCCAGAACGTCTTCCTGAGTTCCCACTTTGAGGTTGTCACCCCAGTTTCAGTTGCAGACAAGTCGAAGTTAGAAGTGCCTATGTCTTTGTTTAGTCCCCAACTTGGGGGTGGTGCACGAACACCATCCTATTCTTTGCAGTTTCCCTGGCACCCCCAAGCTGGAGGTAACTTCCCCCACCCACCCCTTACTCTGTATCTGATATTTTTTCATTTTGCCTTTCCTTCTCTGCCTCGTCCTGTCCCGGGGTGGGGGGGGGGTGCGTTCCCTCCCCACCACTGGTCCACCCCCTCTCCCAGGTCGGCCTTACTCTATGGTGCTCCAAACCCGTTCAGGGTGATTTAGAGTGACAAGGCCCCGATTTATGAAGTTCTAAAATGACCTGGGAATGCAGCTTCAGTCCAGCCATGTTGGTGGTAAGGTGGGTGGGAGGAGAGGGGAAAGGAAGGCAGTGGCAGCCTCCCAGGCCATAAATCATCCTTCAGAAGGGAAGACGTCGGAGTGGGGAGACCCTGTATTGGGCACTGCCTGGAACCTGCAAGATCACAAAGTACTTGTTTTTTTTTTTTTTAAGATTTATTTATTTACGCATACAAGAACTGGGGTACAGGCCAGAGGTGCGGGGGGTGCGAGGATCCACCAGAGACAGAGTGGGAAATAGAACAGGCAGACTGACTGAAATCCACTGCTGAGGGGAGCAGCGGGGAGACAGGAGAGGTCTGCTGCGCCCTGTGGGCAGCTCCCTGGCCGGGGATGGAACTCTTGCTGTGCTGCAGTGGCTGTGGACAGCCTCATAGGTTGTGTCTTAACCCCCTGCGCCAGCAGGGAGGTCCACTTGTTTTTTTGTTTTTTGTTTTTGTTTTTTAAAGATTTATTTATTTATTCATTTGTTTGTTTATTTATTTATTTATACAAGCACTGGGCACAGTCAGAAGCGCGGGAGGGTGAGAGGATTCACCAGAGCCAGAGCGGGGAGCAGAGCAGCAGAAGGACCGAAGGACACTGCTGAGGGGAGCAGCGGGCGGCAGGAGAGGTCTGCGCGCCATGTGGGACCGTCCTCTGGTGGCCGGGGAGCAGCCGGGGATCGAACCGGCGCTGCAGAGGCTGCGGGCAGCTTTGCAACCCAGCGCTCAACCGCTGCGCCACCGGGGAGGCCCCACTTGTTTTTTTTTGATACCCACTTTCCCTTGGACATTTAACCATCCTCCATGTTTAACTGGAAGGACTCCAGAGCTGGAATTTCTGGCATCAAACATTCAGGTTGTCCGGGGCAGATATTGGGGAGCAAGGAAGTTTTGACTTTCCTTAGGTATGACCCAATTAACAGTCTCCATGCTTCCCCCTCCCGTCCCTGTTTCCCAAGAACTTTATCTGGGCAGGCCCGGAGGTCCTGGAGGGCCCAGCATCTAAAAGGTGGGGAGGAGGGAACTTGATCTTGGAATCCCGGGACTACGTGATCGCTGGCTAGGGGCCACCATCACCTGTGCAATCTGGATGGAGCGCAGCCGGGCGCCCTCAGCATGGTAGCACAGGGGACTGCGCCAGAGGCGGCCAGGTCCCAGTCCTCCGGGCATGGCTGTGGGAGTCATAGTACAGCCAGTTCTTTGCCTGCAAGGGAAACTTCTCGAACATCTGCCCACAGGAGACTATTTTCCCAAATTCCTTAGCTGAGACACAAAGTACCAGAAAAGAGACTTGGTGATGATCTGATCAGGGTCAAAGATTCCTCCCGCAGCAGAGGGGGAGTCATGTGGCCTTAAGGAGGCGGGTGGGTAGCACCTCATGACCTTGTGCTCTGACGTGGGACCTGAGGCCTTCATCGTGCTCTCTCTCAGCTCACCCCCCACACCAAAGGAAGTCTCTGGGCTTTCGAATTCTTCTTTTGTAAAAGAACTTTTTCCCTTATCAAAGTAATATATTTGACCAAGAAGAAACTGGAAGGTAAATTATTAAAAAAAAAGTCACCCTACCAAAGGGATGCAAACTCCCGAAGGGTGCACATTCAGGGGTGTTTCCGTCTGTTTTTTGTCCCTATATATCCAGCTTTGGGTCAAGTTAGTTTTCGCCAGGTGTTTTGGTATCACTGTGTTTCAAAACCTCTTGCACTTTCCTGCATTTCTTGGCATTAAGTCTGTGGCCAGGGAGCTGAAGCACTAAGTAGCTGGGGCCGATGGAGCAAGACAGAGCCCCACCTTTGGGGTTCAGGTTTCCTAGCAAGGCAATGAGAGCACTGACCATCAAGGTTTCACGTTTGAGGTGTTGGCCTGGCTCCCTCCCTAGCTGGGTGCTCTCGGGCGGGGGTCTTCTTGTCAAAAGAGGCCAGGCCAGGTCAGGGGGGTTGCCCAGAGTGGGGACTCCAGAGGAACCCTTCTGGGGCTGTCCTGGGAGGAACCCCGCTTCCAGGAGCATCCTCTTTGCTGCACCCAAGGGGACCAGCTGCAGGTGGCTCCTCCAGTTTCCGAACGCCCACGATCTGCCCTCAGTGAGGGCCTTTACCCACCTTCACCTGCCCCACTAGGTATTTGGGAGACCCCAGGTGCAGCTTCCTCCCCATAGGCCCTTGGCCCAGAGGCGGACCCCAGGCATCTTAGGCCTGAAGGCAGGTGAAGGGAGTGAAAGCGGGTGAAATCTCCTCCGGGAATTGTGTGGGCCCCAGGAGTCCACCCCAGGCCGGCCGCGTCTGTAGCCGGTGGGGTGCCGTCCTCCCGGCCCTCCTTCCTCTCCGCGGTGGCCCAGAGGCGGACGGACGCGCGGCGCCCACCAGGCCCCCGCGCGGTTTCCCGGGGCGGACGAAGGAGGCGGCGGGGCAGAGGGAGGAGGGCGCGGGAGGAAGAGGGGGAGAAGCAGGCGGGGTGGGCTAGGGGAGTGGGGCGCGGAGGAGCCCCCAGCCGGAGATCCGGATCGGGGGCGCCGGGCTGGGGGGCCGAGACCGCGAGGTGGGGCGCCGCCGCGGGAGCAGGGTGGGGAGCGGGGGGGGGGGAGGGAGCGGGGGGAGGGAGCGGGGGGAGGGCGGGGGCGTGGCCGGGGCGTGGCCGACTCGCCCCGCCCCTCCGCCGGCCGCGCGGCGGAACGAAGATGGCCGGGCGCGCCGCGGGAACTCAGTGGCTGCCCGTAGCGGCGGCGGCTCCGGAGCTGTGACTCTGCGCGCGGCGGCGACCCGAGCGACCCGGGCGGCGCGGGCGGCCGGAGCGGTTGACGGCGCCCCGGGCCGGGCGACCGGCGATCGGCGAGCGGGCGCCGGTGCGCGGGCGCCCGGCGGAGGATGCACCGGGCGCGGCGGGCGGCTCCCCGCGGCCGCCCCCGCGCCCCGGCCGCCGGGCCTTAGTGCTGGCTGAGGAGGCGGCGCGCTCGGGGCGGCCGGGCGGCGGCGGGGCCCGAGCCGTCATGCCGTGGCTGAGCGGCGGCCGGCGACGGCGGCGGGGACAGCCGCGCGAGGCCCCCCGGGAGCCCCCGTCGCCCGCGCCCGCCCCGCGGGAGCCCCCGCCGCCGCGCCCCCCGCCGCTGCCTCCGCGCCCTCCGCGCCCTCCGCGCCGCCGCCGCCGCGGGCCCGGGAGAGCGCCGAGCTGCCGCTGCCCGCCGGCTGGGAGGAGGCGCGCGACTACGACGGCCGCGTCTTCTACATCGACCACAACACGCGCCAGACGTCGTGGATCGACCCCCGCGACCGGTAAGGGCGCCGGCGGGGTCGGGGCCGGCTCGCGGCGCCCCGGTGCTTGGGCCCCGGGAGGGCGGTCGAGGACCCCGGGAGGCCTCGGAGTCTGGGCGAAGCGCGGGCGTCCTCGGGGTCCGGGCGAGGAGCGAGGCGTCCGGGCTGCCGGCCTCGCGCCCCCGGGGTGCGGAGCCCCGGCCTGCCCCTGGCCCGCGCCGCGGGGCGGACCCTCTGACTCTGTTCCCTCACGTCACCCGCTGTCCGGCGCCCGGAGTTTCCTCTCCCGGGCTCACGGATGGCCCGCTTTTCCTTTTTCCGCCGCGGCCTCGCCCATCCCTGCCGGGGCCTCTGCGGCCCAACGCCCCGGCCCGCGGTGGCCGGATGAGCTGTCACCTTGGAGCACAAAACCGCCCCAGCCTTGCGGTGCCGGGTCCGGAGGGCTGAGCCTGGCGTCCGTCCGAAGAGTGCGCGCCGGGACGCTGCGAGGGTTCCCACTGCTCTCGGCGCTTGGGAGAGCCGGGTCCTAAACGGGGACGCCTGGAAAACTGGGTTACAATTCGGATGGAAATCGCCTGGCTTACTGCTGCCAGGGGGAATATTAGGCCCATATGCTTTTGCAAGAAAGGCAAACCAAGAGTGGAGTTTTAGGTTTCCATTTTGTGCCGGGTCAGAATCGGGCACTCGGTTGCCTTACTCATGTAAATAAACCCGAAGGAGTACAAAGGAACGCTGCTAGAAGTGCCACCCAATGGCATTTTGTTAATTTCACATCGTGGTGCGTTTCCTTAACTTTCTGCTCACTTGTCTGCTGGTTTCAACGGTCCAGCTGTTTTCTAGCGAGATGAATTTTGGGGGGCGTTGGGTTCTCGGCAAACGGCCTTTGCAGTGGCTGTCTGCTCTTGTCCTATCCCCAGCAACTTCCCCAGAGAGGCTGGGCCCGAGTGCCAACCGGGAAACACTGCAGGCTTCCCGGCGGTTTCCAGACTTGAAAAGGCTCGGTGACACCGCTTCCTTCTACCTGCTGCGAAGGGAAGGCAGCGCTGCGAGGCCCTGGCCTTTGAAAGGAAACCTGGGAGGAGGGAGCGGGCTCAGTTGACTTCTGAGGATTTCTCTGGATTCGGATAGGGAGAAACAAAGCAAAAGGTTGGTGCTTTCCTAACAATCTCTTGGAAAGCTGCAAACCTCTGGACTCAGAAACTTAGATAAATCCCAGCACGGTGTCGTGGCTGAAGGAGATGCTTGCTCGTTCTGAAAATCAGGTGAGAGCATATAATACGCTTCACCGAAGGCTGGAGCCACAGCCGTGTGACGCAGCCTCGAGTGGTTCTGGGATGGGTAGACCTGCCAGGCATGTGGTGCCCTGTGAGGCTGCGTGTCTGTTGAAATCCCAGACCACTGGAAAGGGGACCAGTGAAAAATGCTGCTTTGCTTGGAAAGGACCAAGAACGGCTGCGCTTATTTCGGAGTGGGGGTTCCTGATGAAAACTAGCCCCGCACGTAGGTGAGCAGACCCCACGGAAGTCAGCTCGGGCGGCGCTTCCTCTCTGGGTATTCCCTGTGCTCTTTTCCCAGGGATCTGCGTTACTGAATGACATTTCCCCCTCTTTTCAGACATCACTTACGTTACGAATTTTGAAAAAGTCCCGTTTCTAAAGTCGACCGAGCGAACAAAAGTGGATATCTGACATTTTTTGTAAAGTGAAAACATATGTATACTTTCGTGGGCCGTTGTTTTTATAGTGAGTGAAAATTCAGCAGGGGACAGCTTGCACTTCTCAGCTCCCATAATACCTTGCCCGAAATATGTATGGAATGTTCAGCCAGCCACAGACATCTCAGCAGAGTCTAGCGAGGGTGCAAATGGTGCGACAGGCATTCATCTGCTCCTTTCAGAACAGAACCCTGGCGATTTTTATAGGTGACTGCGTAGCCCTTCCAGTTGCAATTGTGTGTTACTGTGCAGAAGGACGGCGCACACTGGTTTCTCCATGTGCATCTGACAGTTCAAACTCTTTTTGAGTTGCGTTTCGTTCACACGAGCCAGCGGAGAAAGGCTCTCAAGAAACGAGGGTGTCCCCCGAGCAGCTTCCAGCTAGAGACCTGGCCAGAGAGAGGCAGAGAAAGAAAAAGGAGGTTCTTAAAGAAAGTGAGATTAGGAGGGAATAAATGAATAGAGTAGGTGAGGTGAAAATTGTTGCTGACTTAAAAAACATTATTTCATAGGTAATGTAGTAAAAACTGTGACAGCGTAAAGTATGCTGCTGTAAGCAAAGTGACCCAGGGCTTGGGGCTTGTAAACAGTCTCTTCTAGAGTTTTATCTGAATTCCATTCAGTGCTGGGCTTACCAGCATTCGATGTAGCCAGCTCAGGGCCTGTTGGTGAATTACTGTGGCTGTACTTTATTTTTCAAGTCATAACAATAGAGGTTGCAAGTCTGAGGAAACATCTTTACAGATGTGGCCACAGATGTGTCCCAAAATGGCTGTATTCCCAGAGCATTTCTCTCCTTTGATGGTGAGCTCACCTGAGCTTCCGGTGGCTATTTCTGCCCATCGGGGCCATGCGCATCATTTTCATAGTTGTTTTCTGGGAAGCCTGACCCCAGATTTCGTCAAGAGAGCCTGGCAGTCTCCCTGGGTGAGTCTTAGGTGGTTATGTTCCTGGCGCATATGTCTTCTACCCCTGTTAACAGGGGGTTCAGGGATCACTTCCTCAGAAGGTATTTACCATTTTGGTAGAAAACTGGAGGAACATCTTACCTCCTTTGGGAAAATTTCCCGCTGGTGATGAGTCTATACACATGTGCTTCCTGGGGCTGTTTTGCTGCCCTGCAGAAGGCCTGAGGGGGTCGAAACTGCTTGTTCTGTTCCTCCAGCCTAGTTGGGATCCTACTGTACCCTAGGACAGCTTAAGGGGGGGGGGCACCTTCGAGAGCAGAGCCCCGCGCAGCCCGTCGCAGTGGTGGAGACCCAGAGCGCATGGTGATGGAAGCTTTGCGGACCCGTGGTCCATGAAACACGCGGGCGGAGGAGTTCTGCGCTACACCCGATTGAACAGGCTGCTGCTTTAAGGAGAAAACAAGCTGTGGTTCTGGAATGTTCCAGAAGCCAACATCGCTACTTTCTTGGAACCTTTGTTTAGTGTTGATTAATGGGTTTGCTGTATCTGTCCCGCAGTCTTATTTGGGGATTATGTAAAGTTTCCAATAAACAAGCAAAGGTTTTCTATTTTTCATTCTTTAAGCTCATAGTTAGTGTTTATACGAACACGGGGTTGTGTCCTGCTTCTAAGGCCATAATGGATGGGCTCCTGGAAGAATTTTCTCCCTCCTAGTTTATCAGCAGCGGCTCTGTTGTCTGCTCTTGGTCTAATATCTTTCTATTCTTTGTTTCCTTCTTTTTAAAGAAAAGTGAATGGAAAAGTCATTCATTTCTAAAAATAGTTCTCGGATGTTTGGAAATCTCTTCAGTTTCCTTTTCTTCCCTTTCACTCTGACTTTGGCCGCGGGAATGACGTTTTTCACCTTCTGGTAGGTTCTCTTCCAGGAGCCCTCGGGTCAGGCGCCATGTTAGCGGTGCCGGGCCAGCCTGGCCCAGGTGCTTTGGCTCATGCTGACTTCCTTTCCAATAAATTCAAGCAAGTGGCCAGGAGACAGTCTCGAGACAGTGATGGTCGCGTGAACGTGGTCAGGAGGGGATGGCTTCTGAGGAAGGCAGGGAGGGCTCACGCGAGCCTGGGGGTGCTTTATCCTCATCCATCCACCTCCTGGGTTGAGGGGTTCTCATGCTTTCTCAGCACTGGGGTGGAAAGGGGGACTGTGAGAGCAGTCCTGGAGGCCAGGAGGTCTGGGTGTTCGGAATCAAGGAAGGAGTGGGTCAATTTGACTGGCCTAGAACCTTCTTGCAAGGCAGGTCAGCTCGGGCAAAAACAGGCCTGGCTTAGATGCCTAAGCTTTGGGGTCCAAAGAGCCAGGACCATCTTGTTCAAACTCTTCATTTTGCACTTGAGGGCCACAGGCAATGCCAGCAGCCAGAGGGCAGGGGCCTGAGTTGGGGTCTCCGGCCTGAACCCGTGCTCTTCCCTTTTGCCACCCATCCCATCTCCCTCCCTGCCCGCTGGCGCTGTTGCTGTTCCAGCGCTCATTGTGCATTCCCTCAGTCTCTGTGCAGGCACCACCTCTCAGCCTCGGGCCCACTTCCAGGGCTCAGGGCCCCAGAGGGGAGACCCGCAGATAGGGCCCTGCCTCCTGGGGTCTTGTTTCTCCTGGAGAGGGCTTCTGCCCGCAGGAAACCTTCTGGCCTGTGATTCGTGGGGCACAGGTGGCTGGTTTGCTCGGGGCCACATGCTTGAGGCCTTTGCAAGGCTTCCATTGAAGCCCACGGTGGGTGCAGGAGCTGTCGGTGGACAAGCGATGAAACTGAGGCCACAGGAGGTTGACTTAGTCCTCTCGCTTCCCTCCAGCATCTTTCACCTGGAGGGTCCTCTTCAGTTCCTTAAAGCTCTGGGGGCTAAGGGAGAGAGAGGAAGGAGGAAGGGCGCTGGCTGGGCAACGCTGCAGTTGGTGGGTGGGTCAGGGAGCTCCGCTGGAGATGGGGACCTGTCTCCTGTGTGGGGAGACCTCTGAGTGCATGGGGCGACTGGAGCTGCCTTGAGATGATCCCCGTTAAAAAAAATGGGGTGGAATTCACACACCATCAGCTGTACCATCTTACAGTGCACAGGAAGTGGGAGTTTGATTTACATTTCTTTTCTTTTATTTTTTTTTTAAATTTTATTTATTTATACATACAAGAACCGGGGCACAGGCAAGAGTTGTGGGGGGGTGAGAGGGTTCACCAGAAACAGAGTGGGGAGCAGACAGGCAGAATGACTGAAATCCACTGCTGAGGGGAGCAGCGGGCGAGTCAAGAGAGGTCTGCTGCACCATGTGGGTTTCTCCCTGGCTGGGAATCGAACTCATGCTGCAGTGGCTGTGGCGAGCTCCAAAGGTTGCCTCTTAACCCCTTGCGCCACCAGG